ATATCATGCATTAGACATTTTCATATTAAAAGTCAAAAAATCTTATACATTGTAATCTTACAAATAAGCATATTTTTCTAATGTGTACAGTCATTGTTAAAGTTATCTGAGGGAAGTAGTGCAAGAGAGAAGAAGAGGAGATGGAGAGAGACAAAGAGAAAGAGACAGACATAGAGAAAGGTCTCAGAAAAGATCTTCAGAATTATTGCAAAAAGTGAATGTGTGAGTAGAAATGTACAAGTATTGAATCAAATATTCTCCAAGGATGATATTAAAAGATGAAAATTTGTGAAGAGGAAAATATTAATAAAATAAATTAGAGGACTTTACAAAATTGTTGTGTGCAGAGAGGAAGTTAATATACTTAAAAATTTGGAAAAAAGATTGAAAGACAACAGAGAAGACACTAAGAAGAGGAAATGATAGAATTAAGCCCTGATTAAATTGGAAGAATAAAAATATAAAAAGAGGGCTGGGAAGGTGGCTCAGTGGTAAAGCTCGTGCCTTGCATGCATGAGGCCCTGGGTTTGATTCCTCAGCACCACATATGCAAAGAGACAAAGAAGAAAGTGGTACTGTGGCTCAAGTGGTAGAGCACAAGCCTTGATCTGAAGAGCTGAGGGACTGTGCCCAGGACCAGAGTTCAGTCCCCATGACTGGATCAAAATACATACATACATATATCTATATCTATATATAAATATATGTATATATTCCAATTTAAATAGTGATCAACACCACTTGTGACTACAAATACTACAAAAATGCACAATAGGTCCTAACACATTGAAATTAAAAAAACCATAATGTTTGTTACAAGAAGGGAAATTTACTGTGGATTTAAATCAGAACTTCTGTATACTAATAAAAAAAGAGTTTAATCTTAAGAATGCTTCTTTCTCCTACCATGTTTTTCATCCCTAAAACCATGGAGAGAATTTTTGTTTGGCATTACTAAGATGATGTCGCACTTTGGAGCAAAAATGCAGCCTAGGAGCCCTGCACCAGAGGCCAAGATGGAGAAGACCTCCTCAGCCACCATAACCTTCCCCTTTGCACTGTGGTAGAAAGGCAGGAAGGTGAGCCACACACTGCAGAACACCAGCATGCTGAAGGTCAGGAACTTGGCTTCATTGAAGGTGTCAGGGAGATTCCTGGCCAGAAAAGCTACAGTGAAGCTGGTCAAGGCCAGGAATCCCAGGTATCCCAGGACACAGTAGAAGGCAGTGAGAGAGCCCTTGTTGCACAGGATGATGACTTGGCCATGTTCAGAGTGTACATCTGTGTCAACGAAGGGAGGAGAGGTTCCCAACCAGAGTCCACAGAGAGTCGCCTGGATGAGTGTGCAGATGGGGATGATGAAGTTAGGAGCCCCTGATGCCAGCAGCCAACTCATCCTTCTCCCTGGAGAAGTGGCCTTGAAGGACAGAACCACAGTCACTGTTTTGGTCAATACTGTGGAAACAGCCACAGTGAACACAACCCCAAATGTGATCTGCTGTAGGATGCATGTGACTGTGTTTGGTCCTCCAAGAAAGAGCAAAGAACAGAGGAAACAGAAGATGAGAGAGATGAGCAAGTTGTAGCTGAGAGCCCAGGTATTGGCCTTAAAAATGGCAGTGTCTTGGTGTTTCAAAAACATCCCAAAAACAGCAACAGTGAGCATAGAGAAGCAAAGAGCTATGCAGGCCAGAGCTATGCCCAAGGGATCTCCAAAAGCCAGGAAACTTGCAACTCTTAGGAGGCACTGATTTCTCTGTGTGTTGGCATATTGATGATCTTCACACCTCACACAATACTCCTTAACTATTGAGAAGTGTACACTATGGTTAGGTCTTGTTATGAATTTCTTTTTCTTCACACAATTTAGGAAAATTTTCACTTACAGGTAATTCTGAAATGTCAGCATTTACTATCATACAATTATTAGCAATAACTAGTATATGTCTAATACAAGCAGAAAAGGTAAAAACTTATGTCCATATGACCATATAAGATGATGTTATGAACCCCAAGCCAGGGATACAAGTGGGTTTTTTCTTGCTTGCTATTGTTTTTAATGTACTTTAATGTACTATGTGATTTTTTTGTTTCTTTTGTATGTTCCTGCCTCATGGTATCATCCTTGTTTTTATATATTTGATCCAGTGCCCTGCATCTTGTATGTACACTTTTCTGATTTGAAGAGGGTAAAGGATAAAACAAAATGCTTAAATACGGATACCGGTAGACCCATTGTAACAATGAGATGTACAAGGCACTATGCTGAAAATGAACTTTACAACTTCTGCTGGGGGGATGGGTGTAGCAGGAGTAGTTGGGGAGGTAGGAAGGAAGGGATGATAGGGGAAAAGCAAAGGACGAGTCAACAATGCTAGAGAGGAAATGTACTCATTACCTTACTCATGTAACTATCACCCATCTGTACAATATTTTTAGAATAAAAAAGATATAAAAATAAAAGTATATGTTCTTTTCTAAACTGTTTCTCAGTTCCCTGTTTTTCTTCATTTGGGATTTTTTATTCAACCTTTTCTTCCTTCAGTGACTATCACATGTATTGATAATATGACAGTTGGGATATTATAATATTAAAACAACAATGTTCTACAGTTTCACTCTTAGTAACAGAATGGTGTGGAGTTCTGCAATCCTATTGATAATTGTAACCATATTGAATACAATTTCCTGCATGTCTCTGTAAAACATGCACTTATCCCCATGGTCCATTACCCTTGAATTCTTCACATTTTTTTGTGTCACCTGCTCACCTGTTAAACATTGGGAACAGAGTGACCACTCTTGGACACTCTAAAGTCATGCTTAATTCTTAAACTAACTCTACTTTTCTGGGCATTTTCCTCATGCCAAGACCAGTTCTGGACACTGAGAAATTAAGATATGCCAAGTCTCATTTTTTGTGTAGGAAAATGTAACCTTTAAGATGAACATAGTCTTTAATAAGACTATGTTTAATTTCATGTTAGAGTTTACCTTGTCCTAGTGATTAGTGATAAGAAGGATTCCTTGAGTTTACATTCACTGCAAGCGACTAGAAAATATTACTTAATATGTAATCCAAACCCATGACTTTTCATATTTCAACAAGCAATACCACCATTTGTCAAAATCAAATTATGAACAGAGAGAAGAAAAACAGGCATGGTAATCCCAATATACAACTTTGGAATTGAGTTGTTTGGGTTGAGGAAACCTAGGGAGAGATGAATAATTGCTTAATAATTCATGGACTTACTTGTCCCATTAGCAATTTCATTCTCTGGGCAAGGGGTACAATCAAAGCAACAGGCAGCCATTCCCTCCTGAGGAGATTTCCTGATTCCAGGATCACAACTCTCACTGCAGACAGAGTGAGGAATCTAAGGAAGATCAATGATGTGTCAGAAAATGTTCGGACTTACACCTAACATTTCACAAAGTCCATTTTTGAATTGATGGATTATTAAACATAATGTTCCCATGCAGGCAAGTGAAGTTGAGTAATTAAATTCTGTTATAGAGCCCATATTCCATGATTCACAAAGACATATTGGCTACAACCTTGATTTCTAGCCTGTTGAGTTACTGCAAAGAATGGGATCTTTAAAAAGTGGAAAGTTGTGGTGAGAAAGTAATTTCTAGTGTACAGTCCTATGGAGTTTTCTTGAATTCATGTCATTATATCTTGTCTCCTATTCATCTCTGACATGGAGAAGAGAAGAAGGAAGACCTCCTTTTTATAGTATTGTGGGAACTCCAGGCCCATGGTATCTTCCTCTTCGTTTTCCAGTGGCCATGAGGTGGGAATATTCTCACAGGTACCTTCAAGGATGGCACCATCACCAAAGATTGTTGAGTAGCAGATCAATTAACCCTTGAGTGAACCACCTCAGAAAGGAGCAAAATAAATTTTACACCACATAAATGATTCCTCAGGTACTTTATCACAATGCTAGAAACCCACTGAGCAAAATTTAATTTATAGCTTATGACAGTATTTGAAATCAACATTGAGAAACCCAATTTATTGTTTTGATTCTGGGTCTTGAACTCAAGGTCTGGGAACTGTATTTTGGCTGTTCTTGCTTAAGGTTAGCAATCCACTACTTGAGTCACAGTTATACCCCAGAATTTGGGGTTAATTGGAGGTGACAGTCCCACAGATTACCCTGTGTAGGCTGACCTTAAACCATGATATTCACATCCCAGCTACATGAGTAGCTAAGATTATGGGAGAAAAATGCTGGAACTCAAGCAGGTATACATTTGAAGAGAGACTTTTGCTTATTTGTGTGTTATTAAAATTATCAGGATTAGATATAACCCACCTCTGTACTTTCAATGGCCCACTCTACCATATTTTCAGACAAAGACGGTTGATTGACATGTGGAGCATAGGGAGAAAACATTCCTACTTTCACAGCAAGTTCCAGCCCTTCTGGAAAATTCCAAATGTTCATTATATCATACTCTGACTCCAGTTTCTTTTTCTCATCAAAAATCACTTGATCCCCACTGGGATTTTGAAACTGGATGCTCTTCAGTAAAGGGTGCAACTAAAAGAGAGACATCATCTTATTGTGAAGTACATCCCAGAGCTAAGACATAAAACCTAAACAAAGAAAAGCTACCAATTGCCTTTTAAATTCTGATTCTGAATGCTTGAATAACATAGAAGAAAACGTATGGAGGAATAAAAATAATTTTTTTGAAAAATAACCTTTCCTGATCACTCAGAAAAGGAGTAGAAGGGCTTTTCTCAAGAGAAATCATTTTGCTACACCTTGCCCCAACAACTACTTTATGAATATCTATTGTTTAGGTTGCAAA